CAGCAGTCCCACGTTGTTAGACTTTCACTGCAGAAATGAGTCTTTGGCTGGCAGCTGTTACCTGCTCCTTTTCTTTGTCACTCAGAGAACGAAGTGAACGATGGTGAGCAGTGACTTGTTCTTTGTCTGGGCCAGATTTGTGTACTACGCCTCTGGTCTTTCAGCCCGCTAAGGATTTAAAAACTGGCAGTTTCATCTTTCAGAGCACAACTTTTTTTCCCCCGTTATAGGAAATAAAATGCAAAATAATAAACAGTCCTTTTGGTTGTGGTAAGATTATTCAGTAAGATGTTTCTTTACTCCAAATGAGCTTTTTGTTCATTGAATTCACTGTCAATTGTTTTATAGATTCTACTTGAGTTTGTTAATTTTTTAATGAGCATGGTAACTATGTAAATGCATTTTTAGTACCTCCTGTGTGTCAAAGCTACTTTTTAAAAGTAATTTATAAAATAATAATTTTTGAAATTTTTTTCTTTTTTGAGAAAGGGTCTCTGTTAGCCTAGGTTGGCCTCAAATTCACTCTGTGCCTTGAACTTTGAGATCCACCTACCTCTACCTCCCTAGTGCTGTGATTACAAGCCTGTACCACCATATCCCGTTTTGTGTGGCACTGTGGAGGGAGCCCAGGGCTTGAGGCCCTATATTTGCCTTTTTAATGGATAGGATTTTAAAACATCTTGTTAGGGATAAGTGAAAATCAACAGTAATTTATATTCCCTAAACATATGCCTCAAAAATCAAGCAAGCTGGGGGTCCTGGCTTCTAGCAGAGAAATTAAGTCTACACAGTTTACTGTGGTTAATCAACACCTATCAAAACACTTCTTCTGTTTACTCCTTCTGGTTTTGTTTTCAGTCTTGTTTGTCTGAGCCAGGGTCTCTCACTGGCCTGGAGCTCGTCAGGAGGCCTACACTGTGAGCTCCAGGAGCCACCTGGCTCCCTTCCCTGGCACTCAGACTGCAACACACACACACACACACACACACACACACACACACACACATATTTTCTTGGGGGCTGGAGACTCGGCTCAGTGGTTAGGAGCCTTTACTGCTCTTCCATACAGAGTTCAGTTCCCAGCCCCCACCCCAGGCTCCAGTTCCAGGGGCTCCAACACTCTCTGACCTCTGTGGATACCGGTATGCACATGGTGCACATAAACTCAGGTAGACACACATACACACAAATAAAAATTAACTAATTAAAAAGGAAAGAAATGTGGGTTCTGGGGGCCCTGAACCTCTCTTTCTTGCCAGCAAGCAAGACTGACTGGACCAGCACTGCAGCTCAAACAAGTTAGAGCTTAACCAGTGGCCCTTCAACCTGATCCTCCTCCTGTTCCTTCTCCTCCAGTGAAATGCTGCTTCTTAAACCTGATTTCTGTCTCCTCCAGTTAGCAACACAAGAAATGAAGTCCATCCTCTGTTCATAGCTTTCAGGGGCAAACGAGCAACAGGGTCATATGTTAATAGTTTTTTCTAACTACCTGGAGGGTATAGACTTATGCTAGATGTTTCAGAAGACTCGGTAGCAGGGAATGGGCCATCTCATTGTCTACAGGTTTCTCAATGTATACGATTTTAATGTGCAGAGGTCTTGATGGGCAGGGGAGTGCGAGGGATGGTGGGGAGAGCCTCATAAATCATCTTCCCACATCGTTTAAATGGGAGAGGAAGTAACAACTACTACTGTTCTGAAGAAGTTATTTAATAAGTGAAAAGCAAGAGATCCCAAAGTGTGATATCAATCTCCTATAATTCCGACATCAGGAGGCTGAGGCAGGAAGATCATGGGTCTGAGATCAGCCTGGGCAGTAAAGGGAGACCCTATCAAAAGAATGAAAGTGGCCCATGGTGGTGGTGGTGGCAATGGTAGTGGCAGCCACCAGCATACTCCTTTCATCCCAGCAGGCAGAGACAGAGGCAGAGGCAGAGGCAGAGGCAGAGGCAGATGGATCTCCAAGTTTGAGGCCAGCCTAGTCTACAGAGTGAGTTCCAGGACAGCCAGAGCTACACAGAGAAACCGTCTTTAAAAAAAATCAAAACAAAACAACAAGAAAAGAAGGAAAATGGGGGAGACACCAAGGGTTTGGATCTGAGTCATTGTCATTGGTACATTCCTAAAATATGAATAACTACAACTGTCTAGCTTGCTGTTCTGGGTTGCTGTTTAGACTATGGTCCAAGGATAAGTACTGCACCTTTAAAACTTTTAAAGGGCTATCCCAATATTTCTGACATTAACCAATTGCTCAGCACTACACTTGCTTGAGTGTGCCAGAAGAGAAGCAGAGCCAGGCCCTCCATGGTTCTGAGGTGGGCCCTATCACATCCTACCCCAATGTCAGGCTGTTGTTTACAGGAGGAAGGCTGCCAGTTTCCACTGAGCTCAAGAGGGCAATGGCCAACTTCATGTGAGCAAGAATGGACTCTTTATGTGGCATGAGTTAGTTGCATGCACACTAAGCCATATCCAGGGACACTAAAACAATAAAATCTCTCAGTGTGTGCACACCACACTTCTTATGTGTCACTAAGACTAAGCTCAAAACACAACATTCACTTTTGTTACTCCGAAGCAAGGGGCCGGTCACTCACGAATGTATCCTTTACTTGATCTTGAGAAAACAATCTAAAAGCAGAAGCTCTGGTCTTTACAGAGCCCTCTACCAAGTTCCACAAATACTCACTGACTAGAATTATGGGCAAGCTTCAAAGCTCTAGTCATCCCGTTTGTAGCAGCTTCACTTCAAGAGTCATTAGGGTTGCTTTTACACACAATTCCGGAAGCAGTCGCTCAAGTACTGGAATCCACCAAGAGAGAGATTTTGTTACACTTTTTACTATAAAGGAAAAAAATATGGCTTATGAACATTCACCCATTCATAAAATTCCCTGACAGGAAGCAACCTGTGCTACCAGTTACAAGGGCGAAAGGAAAACAGGGGCTGCATTCATAACTTCCTGCAAGTCCCCTCCACTTCAAGACAAGAAGCAGATCATGCTTACACCTGGGATGAGCCTGCTTCAGGGGCACACCTAAATCCTAATGCTGACACACTGAAGAGACATGGAGATGTTACCAGGGCTCAGAATGCACTTTCTTGTCCTCTAAGGATATCTGAATGGGGGAGAAAGCACAACTCAGCAACAAGACAAGCCAGGGAGGAGGAGGCCTGTGTTCTGCTGGCTCTGTGGCTGACGGGAGCAAAACCCTGGTCAAATACTTATGTGAGGTGGGCATTATTTTCAGGATCTGAGAAGTGGGAACAAAAACAGCAACTGCTGTTTTATGATTTGCAAAAGGGCATTAGAAAGAAGCTAACAAGTGCAAGTTTTATATATTAATGAGGAATAAGAACAGAAACAGGCTGGGGCGCTGCCTGGTACTGGCTAACTCCCCTGAATGCCAGGGAGGAAAACCTGCTACGTCAGTACGAAATGTTATCAGCACCTCCTTCAAGTTATAGTTAGACACAACAGTATCACAAAAAGACATGGCACCAGTTCAACATTGCCAGGGTCGCTTCCAACAAGTAATGCTGGCCACTATTCTAAAACACCTCAAAGAACTTGAAGGGCCAACCCAAGTTCCTCCTGAACCAGAGCTCCAGAAACTGATGCCAAAAACCTTCAGAGAAACATACAGGTGTAGCTTCAGGCTAGAAAATGGCTGTAACCAGCTCCACTGCTTCCCACAGTAAAAAAAAAAAACACCTGACTACACATGTTGTCGACAACAGGAAAGCTTGGATAACAGCATGGTGGCAGGAGCACTGATAATCCCATGAACAAATCAATAACTACAGAGGACAGATACCTCTCCAGAAGCAATAGAGAGTTCAGGAATTTTATCTTATTTATCTACTTATTTATGACAATAAAAACAACAACAAACAAACAAACATTTAAGTATTGACCACAGGGCATTATGCATGCTAAACAAGCAATCTACCTTTGAGCTATGTTCCAACCATTCATAAATTTATGTTTAAAGAAAACAAACTTTTATATAAAGCAAAGCAGTTAACTTGACACTGACAGCAATAGGCAAGAAGAAAAGTAACAAAACACAAACCAAACTAATGGAGACTCTCACTCCTTACTCATTCTTACTACACTGGGAGGGGGTGCCAGGAATTGAACCCAGAACCTTGCTAGGTAAGTGCTCTGCCAGTGAGCTAACATCTCCAGCCCATCTCACTCATTCTTAATAGTTTCACTTCTCTAACTTAAAAAAGCAGGGACTCAGTCAGTAAAGTGCTTGCCACATAAGCCTGAGGGCCTGAGTTGGATCCCTGGCAGTCACAGAAAAAGCCAGCACAGTGGCATGTACCTATAATCCTAGCACAGAGGATTCCAGGGCTAGCCAGCCAGCTTGGTCAGTACCTGAGCTCCAGGTTCAGTGACAGACTCTGTCATGAACAATAAAGTGGAGAGCGATACTAAGAAAGGCACCCAGAATCAACCTCTGGCCTCCACACGTATGCACTCAGACCTGTACCCACCACGGACAGACAGACAGACACACAGACACACACACAAATTCTAAAATGGGCCTTTTGGACTTTTTTGTTTGCTTTATGTTTAGTAATTTGACAGTCTCATTATAAAGCAATTAGAGGTGTACACAGACAAAACAGGACATCTGAAGTACAGAAACTTAGAATCAGATTTACCAACTGTCTAGTTTCTACTCTACACCCCATGGCTGAATTGCTATGCTTCAGCGTACCAGGATGTCAACTGTCTAGTTTCTACTCTACACCCCATGGCTGAATTGCTATGCTTCAGCCCCCCAGGATGTCCCCTGCCATTTCTAAGCATGCTGCTTAGGAGGTCACAGCGCACTTGCTCAATACACAACACTACGTGACAGCCACCTGGGGAGCATGAAGGATTCCAGGAACTCACTTTGTTAGCACTCACAGGTGACTGCAGCAGTAAATCATCTCAGCTTCAAAGACACAACTAATAAAGGACTCCTTTCCAGTTCAGTAGCTGACTGAACAGAGGGTTCCTTACCCAAACCTTTCTCCGAGTCATAAAAGAATAAATATTCAAAGTGCATCTTATTTTGTGCCGGAAGAGGTGAGATACTGCTAGCTGGAATGCCAACAATTTACAGTGATACTCACAACAGTGATGCCTATCAGTGCAGAAAGGACCAACAAAGGTGAAAAAGCAACAACAACCAAGTTCAGTGATACAGGCCTGTAAAGCCCCTACTATTTTGTAAGCTGAGGTAGAAAAGCCACCTGAGCCCAGGAGTTTAGGGTCAACCTAAGATACATGGTAAGACCCCCAACTCAGAAAACAAAACAAAACAAAAACATCTTACTGAGGATGCAGCTCAATCCAGTGCTTGCCTAGCATGCACAAAGACCCAGGTTCAACTCCCAGCACTTTAGTAAACTAAGCCTGATGATGCACAACTGTAATCTCACCCCTAGAGAGGCAGAGGAAGTTCAGGGTCATCCTCAGCTACATGGAAACTTTGAGTCCAGTCTAGGATACTTGAGACCCTGTCAACAAAACAAAACAAAACTCTTCAAAAACCTTATTTAATCCCAGCTCTTGGAAGCAGAGGCAGTTCTATGAGTTCGAGGTCAGCCTGGTCTACAGAGCCAGGGATAAAGAGAAAGCCTGTCTCAAAAAACAACCACAACAAACCTTATTCATGTAAATATTCAATGCTTAAGTCAGAAACCATGTGAAATGATATAGGTAACACCAAAAACAAGCATGGTGCCAACAAGTTATCTCTCCTCTAACATCCCAGCAGGGTCCTCTGTCCATCTCTCTTCATCTTCACAGGTGGGCAAACAATGTTGTGGTTATACAGGAGAATGTCCTTGACGTCAAGAGCTGCACTGAGGAACTGACTTAGAGGCATCATGTCCGAGCTTTCACTTAATACGGGAAAGAAAGTGGGAGAAAGAGACAGAAGGCAGAAAGCAAATATGGCAGAAGGCTCCTAACCAGCAAAACTAGGGCGAGGAGCAGAGCTGTTAGCTGTATCACCCTTTTGGGTTTTCTCCACGTTTGAAAAGTGTGGTTGTGGGTGCACGCCAAAGCCCCAGCGCTCAGAGGGTGGCAGGCAGAGGCAGCCAGACTTCCAAGACATAAAGGCCAGCCTGGTCTACATAGTGAGCTCCAGGCCAGCCAGAGCTATATAGAGAGAACCTGACTCATTTTTCTTTTTTTTTCTTAAAGGTTGGTGTGTGGAAGGATAAAGAATCAAGACAACACTGTAGAGTGTCTCTGTGCATTTCAAGTTACCTAGGGACTTCCAAAACATAAAAACCAGGGTCTCACTCCTGGGCTGTCCTGCAAAGGATAATTCTACATGTGTTCTGTTAAGGTGGCAGAGAGTGCTTAAATTGTTAAGTCACAGATCATTACCACTCTGATAGCCTGATGCCACAGTCCAAGTTTTATCAATGAGAAGTTAACAGTGTTTTTAAACTTAATGTAAGCATTAAATACAATAAAGAAATTTACCCAGAACATACACTGGGTAACTTAAGAAATACTGCATTACATGGAATCATTACCTGATAAACTTGTATTGAGTTTTCAGTACTATGTACTTGTTTAGTAATAGAAAGGACATGGCTCCATAAAAACAGAAACAAAAAACTAGGGGGTAGAAGAATGGAACAGATTTACATCTCCTTTAAGCAAATCTATCTAGAAAGTCTATGGCTCAACTTGCAAAATTCAATTTAGAGAACTGAAAAGGGGGAGGAACAATGTATTTAGGAGACACATTAAACCATTTTCCCCATTCTTAAAAAGAACAGGAGCTAGGATGATGGCTGGGTGGATAAAGTATAAGCACGAGAACTTGAATCCAGCATGCAGAAACAGCAGGCCCAGGCAATGCTTGTCAGAAACCCCAGTGCTGGGGTGGACAGGCAGATCTAGGGGGAGGGGACGAACCAGCCAATCTAGCCTAGAAAGCAAGTTCAGTGACAGAATCCTCTTGAAAGGTAGAGGGAGTAGTAGGGGGTGCAATAGAGGACATCCAGTGCTGAACTCTGGCCTCCAACACATGCATGTGCACCTATGCACACAAAGGCATACACTAGACACCGACCATTCCCCCAACACACACTTTTAAAAAAAGAATTTATTTTATTTTATATATTTATGAGTATTTTGCCTGCACGTATGAATGTGCACCTCACACATGCCTGGTGCCCACAGAAGTCAGAAGAAGCACCTGATCCTCAAGAACTGGGGTTACAGATGGTTGTGAGCCTCCATATGGGTTCTGAGAATCGAACCTAGGTCCTCTGGAAGAGGAGCCAGTGCCCTTAACTGCGGAACCATCTCCACCCCACGCCACCCCCACAGAACTAGTATAAAAAGAACAGAGAAGCCTGACTAGAGTTATATTCTCATCTCCGTGTCAAAGATGAGTCATAATCAGTAAAGTTACAAGGAGGGGATCCCTTGGAGAATACACAATTTCAATTCACCACATTCAAATGTGTGCACATTATTTAAAGGTACTCTAAGTGAGTCTTGCATATGAAGAAAAGCTCTCCGAGGTCCAATACATACATTTCAAGCAGCACCTATTTCTCTGTGCCTCCTTCGTTCTATTCGTCTTTCATATTTAAATGTATGTATGACCTCAGGTATGTGGCTAAAGGGTATATAAGACAGAGAAGTGATTCAAAGTCACAAATTCAAAAACATACTTCAAAACAGGTGTGGTTGTTCACACATGTTACTCTGGCACTCAGAAGGCTAAAAAGGAAAGGCCAGCCTCGGCTACATTGTAAGTTCAAAGCCAGCCTGGGCTATAACGTAAAACCCTGTCTCCTCACCTGATCTTAGTCAAAAGAGTGAGAAACAATGAGATCCTGTTGAGTGGGGGGGAGAAACAAAAATTCTAGTAATCGAAATTGTCTTAACAATGTACCTTACAATCTAGGTGGCTTTAATAAAAGTTTTATTGATTATACATTAAGTGCATGCATTTAAAATAATGAATTTAGTAAAGTTCATTTATTTATTTTGATACAGGGTCTCTGCTGTCTTTCCTAGGTTGTTTTTTTTAACTCAGTCCTCCTATAGCCTCTCAAGTAACTTGGGTTACAGGCATGCAGCACCACAGAGGTGGGTGGTGTTGGGACTGAACCTGGGACTTCACACATGCTAGGCAAATGTTCTACCACTGACCTACATGGCAGCTTCTTGTTGTTTTGAGACAGGGGTTCATATAGTTCAGGATAGTCTCAAACTCACTATGTAGCTAAGGATGACCTTGAACTCCTGATCCCTCCACCTCCACTTCCTAAGTGTTTCGATTACAGGCATCATACAACATTATGTTAGGCTACAATCTTGTACATTTTGACACAGATATACATACATACATACATATATATATTGAAGTCATTAACAACAGAGGTAATGCACAGGACTATGCTAGATGGGCTTTTTAATCCATGGACTGAGTGATGGGTAAAAGACGATGCCCTCTGCAGGAAAAGGAAGTTTTCATGGGTTGTTTTTCTTCCTAAGTCTCCACAGAAGTGACTAAATACTTTCATTAACAGATGGAGGCAGGCAGAATCTCTGTGAGTCCGAGGCCAGCCTGGTCTACACAGCAAGTTATAGGACTACTTTCATTAACAGATGGAGGCAGGCAGAATCTCTGTGAGTCCGAGGCCCGCCTGGTCTACACAGCAAGTTATAGGACAGAAAAAGAAACCCTGTTTTTAAAAAAAAAAAAAAAAAAGTAAATAAATAACAGATCAACTGTGAGATTTTTGGACTTTTATCCCCAAATTGAAATCTAAGAGACAGGAATGCATTATATTACTCTATCTTAGACATAGTTCCAAATAAAGAAACATGTGGTCTAAAAATTATAATGTTAGTTAGCATTTCAAAACAATCTGAAAAACATTAAACAAAACCACACTCACACAGCATTGTGTTTGAATTTAAATCCAAGGCTAGAACACACTTGGAGGGAAAGTGCTTGCCTAGAGTTCACTTGGCTTTAGGTCCACTTCAAACAAACAACAAACAACAGTAAATACAAAGGTACAAGCTTGCCTGCTAGTTTTAACACAAAGAGATTTAGAAGATTATTTACAAATTACAGCAATATATTCAGACTTATACCACATCAGGCCTAGGTATACCCACCTGTCAGACAGGGCTATTCTAGGCAAAACTGGGGGAAAAGTATCTTTAGTAACTGCCAAAGGCTGCATCCTCATCCTTTTCTCAGGAACTCCCCTGGTCTATGGCACCTTCATTGATGTTTCACGGTTCCCAGCAGTGGGCTCTTTATTTATTTTTGACTCAGGAATCTAAAATATATCCACACCATGTCTATAAACTCTGTTCACAGGTGCAGTTGCTGCTTCCCAAGGGGATGGCAAGTGTCGCTAAGAGCCAAGATGCCTGCTCCATTTTTCACTGCTTCCCTACTGAGAGTCTGTGTAGTAGCTGCAGATGAAACTATTCTTTGTCTAAGACACAAAAGGCTTCTAAACTTATAGAAAGGATGAATTCCCAAGAAGGCCATCCAGCACTTCCAGAGGGCAGGCAGGTCCACTGGATCAAGGGCTTGAGTTACTGCTATTCCACACACCACACTTTCCTTATGTTACATTGCATATTGCCCAATTAAGGGATTTGTTTGTCTCCAAGTGGGCCATAAGCATCAGGATGGGGAGATGTCATGTCTTACTATACACCCAAGAACCAAAGACATGTATTAAATATTGATAAATAAAAGACAGAATAATCCACAATGATCACTACATGATCCATGCAATGTTACTTGTAAAAACATAGGTTTATTCACTTTGTTACTTGAGATGGAGCCAACACTAATAGTTTCATTTGTGCAGGAAATTACAGAAGTTCAGTCACTGAAACAAAACCTTAGCTCCCACTGTATACCAGGCAAAGCAAACTTAAGCAAACTTGTTAATTGTTTAATATTGCTGGCAGGACTACATGGCTACATTCCCATTGTGAAACTTCATTGTTACCATATTCCTCCCCCCCTTCCCCGTCACAAAGGAAACAAAGGAACAAGGGAAAACAACTTAAAAAGTCTAATAAAAATCTAGGAAAAATTCCAGACCATGGTCATCATAAAGTTTTCCAGGGTTAATAAATACATAAGATTCATGATTTCTGGGAGAAACTAACATTGTTGTGTTTTGATGTCTCAACTCAAATTCAAATAAAAACTGTTTGCTCAAATGAATTGTTGTGTTTTGATGTCTCAACTCAAATTCAAATAAAAACTGTTTGCTCATGTGTATTTGTGGTTGGAACTGGGATTCCCTTTATACAAAATCAAAGGACGTAAAATCCACATTAAGATTCTTTCCTGTTATCATTTCATCGTTGTACAATGTTTAATTGTGGCTGCTCCAAACAGCAGCTACCAAACTCTGAACTCACCAAAGCCCTCTGGAATCTGATTGCCGGAGAGGAAATATGCCCTTCCTTTCTTCACTGCAATACCACACAGCCTAGCTGGCCCACATTAGGGACTCCAAACTACAATGTCTAATTTTACTTGAATTAAGTAAAATGTAACAAGAGGAACTGGAAAGATGGCTCACCGGTAAGGGTTAGGAGCAGTGGCTGCTCTTCTAGAGGACCTGGGTTCAATCCCCAGCAATCACAGGGTGGCTCAAAACCATTTGTAACTCCAGTTCAAAAGGATTTGATGTTTTCTTCTGGCTTTCACGGGCACCATGTACACAAACTGTGAAGACATACATGCAGTCAAAATACCTACACACATAAAATTACATCAAATTAAACATAAATTAAATCTTAAAAGTAGCAACAGTTTGTTTTCTAAATCCGAAGGAAGAGCCAGGCAGCCTTGTCAGGCTGGGCACATCTATGAGTCCTGAACTCACTGAGAGGGCTGACACAACAGGATCAGAAGTCTCAGATAAGTCTGGCTACAAAGTAAGTTCAAGACCAGCCTGGGCAACATAGTGTGACCCTGTCCCCAAAGAATGGGATTTAAGGACACCTGATTTGTGATGTCTAAATGTCAAAAAGTATGGAAAACCAGGAAACATTCCCACCAGGTCAAAGATTGTGGTTCTTGGAATTTTTTTTTTTTCCTCACAAGATTTTTTATGGAAATCTTACTTTGTAAGATGGATTTGGGTCCAGAGTACAGCTTAGGGATAGGAAATCTGCTGTGTGTGCGCTTATGACTGATTTTCTTGGTGATTTTCAGCATCATGAAGAGTGGAAAAAACATTCGTTTTTGTTTGTTTGTTTGCTTGCTTGCTTTGTTTTGTTTTTTGGTTTTTTGAGACAGGGTTTCTCTGAAGCATTCGTTTTTATACTCTGATTTTCTAGGTAAAAGAACCCGTAAAATTCAACAAGTTAACCTAAAGGAGACATTTTATTTGAGTTAAAGGCTGATATGACTTCAGCAAGGACATTAATCATGCAACAATGTGAGTCTGGAAAACTTCAGTGGACAAGGTCTGATGTCCCAACTCGATTTCAAGAGTTGAAAACAAAACAAAAGGAGCTGCTCCTCCCCACACTGTGACGATCTCAGGAAAGTCATCTCAACAGGGTTGTGGAAGTCACCACACACAAAAGAAAGCTTAAAAACTCACTAGTCACTTGGCATGGAGCAAAACAAAGCTTGATGTCTAAGACACTTTACCATAATGTCAACAGGAAAGAGGCTGTAGGCCTCCCCCACCCCATAAAGCAGATTAATAGAAAAATAAGCAAATAATGAAGATGTTAAGTTTCTTCCTATTGCCACCTCTCACAAATTTTCAACATGTCTTAGGTTTACAGCTTGGACTTTGAACCTGTGCAGGTAAGATGGTCCATAAGACAAAGAAGACTGCCAGGTGGTGGTGGCACATGCCGTTAATCCCAGAACTTGGGAGGCAGAGGCAGGCAGATCTCTGTGAGTTCGAGGCCAGCCTAGTCTACAAGAGCTAGTTCCAGAACAGGCTCCAAAGCTATACAGAGAAACCCTGCCTTGAAAAAC